TTTCCAGGCGTTCAAAGTCTCCGTTTCTTTAATTTTTTCTTTGAATTTCGACTGCAGAGAGGCCAACTGGCACATCCATATTTATTAGCATTTGACTCGTCAAAGCTTAGCAGCCAAGCTAGTCATCCATCCACATGGCAGCTTTGCTGAACCCAGTAATGAAGGAATAAAAGTTAATGGTGTTCATGTGAACAACTTAGAAGGTTATTTGTAGCTGGAGATGATGAGAAAGGCAGGGGAGGAAGATGTGGTCTTATAATAAGATCAGATATAGGGGGGAGGTGGTTCAAAGACTTGATTTCTCATTTCTTCCATACGTATATTAAGATGTGAAATGAACCTCAGTAATCTGCGTAAAGAAGGATGGCTTTAGTAGGAGCTCTTGCCTCAAGAAAAGCTTCAGCATGACTTAATTGGAGATCTTGCTTCATGATTTCTAGTAATTCTTGATGTGTTTAATCATTAATGTCTTAAGAAGAATAATTAAAAAATAGGAAGAGATATTACAATTGAACGGCTTCATAAAAGAATTCAAAAGAACAGCAATAAAAAAAGAAAGAATCATGTATTTTGAAACTCCTTAATGGTTGATTTTATTCAATGTATCGGTTGGCTTTAGTTGGGTCTATCCAAATGACTTGACTAAATCAGTGATAGGTTAATCCATGTTATTGAATTCACTTGCCTGTTTTCGTTGATCATGCATACGTGAGTACAAGCGCCGAGCTTGAGAGAGCCCAAACTCGACTTGTTAAAAAATGCAACAGTCCGTGTTCTACCCCATTTATATATCGAGCGAAAAAAAATTCATCTTCCACTCTTTTACTTAGTGAGCCAAACACAAGTGTTTGCCCTAGTCACTCAACTGTAAGTTGTTAAGGCAGGGTCGAGATTTAAATGTAATTATTTATTCTAAAATATTCATTTAAATAGATTCATAATGCTTTTATTTTTTTTAATTAATAATTTTAATTGATTATAATTTTTTATAGCAATCTAGTCAAATAAATTATGTGTGTGTGTCTATATACACACACACACACACACACACACACACACACACACACACACACCCCCCCACACACACACTGAGCTGCCATTCTTACCCTAAACAACATTCCAGCATAACCATTCAGAACAATGTGCCAACTGGAGAACAAAGTCTAAAAATCCTGCTTCTACAACTACAACTATTATATATATATATATATATATATCTGTGTGTGTGTGTGTACGCAAACTGTTGACATGAATCTCAAAGCAATCGAGCAGCTCAAGGCGATGGACGAACAATCGTGACATCAGGTTATAAGAACGTGATCCAAGTTGATCATCCAACGAACAACAACTCAATTCAAGCCATCCAAGACATTATGTGAGGGATTTAATCGGTGTGCCACTCCTATAATCCTAAACTACCTAAACTGTTGAAATTCAGAATAATGCGGAACACTTAATTATTTCATTGATATGAATGAGTGTATAAATAACTCTTACAAGAACTCAATAATAGGAAAAATAATAAAAAGGAAATGATATGAAAGGAAAGATATATCATATAATATCTCCAATAATTAATTCATATTAATTATTAAGAGATATATGAAATAACATAAAATAAGAAACCAAATAATTCTTAATCTAAGGAAATAAATATAAAATAGGAAAAGAAATATCTCCTTATATTAAGGAAATAATTTATTCCTCATAACTTATAGGAATAAATTATTTCCTATTATAATTCTTAACATAAACTCTTCACAAGGGCGCCCGACCGTAACATATCAACCGACTGGTTTTTTACTTTGGTAGGCACAATCGTCTCTATTGGTCGCCTTTGTAGACCAAACTCAACAATGTCAAACGGCAAGTTATCGTCACATTTGAATTCAAATTATAATATAGATTTGATAACAATTCATCATGATTAAAATACATGAATGACAGTTTCGATAATCATCATCTTATTTCTGTAATTGTACAAATACACCTCTATAAATATGAGTCAAAAAGATGAATAAAGGGACCTCTTCTCATTTACTCTCGCTCATCCTCCTCCCAGCTCTAACTCTCGAGGCTAGTTTCCACAAAGGACAGTTCAGAATTCAACATCCTGAAAGGTGGTACGGTGAGCGTATACATGACTCGGACTAAAAACAGAACCAACTACGAAGGAGAATCTCTGTGGAGAGAAATAAGACCACACGGAGTACACAGGAAGACAGAGCACTGAGACATACAGAAAGAGGTCCGAGCATGTCGGTGGCTTTCATATACATATATATATATATATATATATATATA